TTCAGTTGATTGCTTTTTATTAATTGTTATTTGCGGTCAAATCCTAATTTACTAGCACTAAAACAGGATTGAAATCAAAATTGGATCAAAATAATTAAATTGAAAATAAAAGTAGTTAATTGCATACATTTATGACATTTTCGCCCTGGATTTCTTGCGCCACCCTCCGAAATGTCCAAATAACCGCTAAGACAACGACATGTGTAACCGATTGGCTTATCAATACATTCCGCATTTTTATCACACTGATTCGTTGTTTCTGATGCACATTCATCAACCACTACATTTCATAAATTTTAAATTTTAGTTGTACATTTATGATTTTAAATATCAGAACAATTCCGAAATTTTAACAGTATTAATATTTCCTTTTCATACAGGAAAATTCATCTTGAAGTGAAATAATGAGACAAAAGAAAAAGTATAAAATAGTCAAAAAAAACTCAGATTCCTGCGCAAAATATAAGAATTATTTATGAGCAATTTTGGATTTCAAATTTTTAAATTTCTGGCACTATTGAAATAACATCGCTAATGGCAGTGTATTATTTTTATTTCCGATTTGAAGATTGGTCAAGAAAATTGGTTTTTCATCGTGCAATTATTTGATTCTTTTAAATTTTTTATGCATGTTTGATTATTCACGACTAAATCTTTTGGAATGACCTCCAGGATAAATTAAATTAAATTAATAAAAAGAAACAGGAACGAGTTGACCTATGATTTTCACATTTCACTTATTGAATATGGATTAAGTGAAAATTCTAATTTGTAGTTGGTAGATAAGAAATCCAAATTAATTAATCTCGGGTCAATTTTTATCATATGACCCAGACTAAATATTTTCAAATCTCTTATTATAATTGCTTGAAATTGAAAATGTTGGAAGGTTAACATTTATGATCAACTAAAACTTGAAAATAATTAACTGAAAATTTCCGGACTTTTTATCACTAAGATTTTCAAATTGTCATTGAGAATTACAAATTAATAATGAATAAATAAAACTGTGGACAAACATTTTGCGCATTTGATGCCTGGTCGTGTTTTCGGTGAAATTGAAGTATCAATAAAGCCTTCATTGCAGAAACATTCATATGATAATACACTATCCATGCATGATGCATTTGGATCACAATCATTTAATTCTGGATTATCGCATTCATTTACTAAAATTAAAATTGATTACCTAAAAATTGAAATTTGATTCAAATATTTTTCTCCAGTCAAAACTACCACCAGACAAAAAAATTGTGTCATTTATTTGATTTTTTCTGAATAACTAATATAATATGGTAAAATTTTAATTTAAAATTTGAAGCTTAATATTTACCCAAACAAATGCTATCCATACGAGTACCATTATTTCCACATGTGCAACGATGACGACCAGATGAATCTGGCAAGCATACCTCACCATAACCTGAACAATAAATAAACCATTATAATTTTAACTTTTGTTAGAACTGAAAAATAAATTTAAATGAAGTGGACTCAAATTTAATTTTAGAGATGAAAAAAACTCGGAATAATGTTTAGACGATGAAACTGCTTTAATTTAAAAGATTTCAACAGTTTAAGCTTTTATAAGGGAAAAACTTCAACTGGTTTAACCAAAAGTTTAGTATGATGATAACTGCTTCGAAATTCAAATTCCGCAATAATTCAAATCAGATTAAAATATTATTGATGATAAGGTGATCAAGCACATTTATGTTTAGCAAAAATGAATTTCATTTCTATTTAAAATTTCAAAAATTTTACCTTTGCAAGGAGTTTTTAAATTTGGATCACATTCCGCTTCTCTCCGAGCATAGGTGAAGCGTGGTGGATCATGTGATAAGCTTACTTTTTTACCGTAAACTTCGATTAGATCTTTCTGAATCTCCGTACAATTACCGATGATATTATTGAGGTATTGTTGAAGCAGAGGTTCCAGTACACATCGTGGTGAGCCCTGCGGTCGAATCGTTCCCTTCTTACAAACACAATGTGTTGTTCCACCAACCATCTCAAATTTCAGCAAAAATTTACAAAATATATGAAAAATTATCGTTTCAAATCAATCACTAAGCAGTAATTTTAATTATTATCCGATGGCAAAAAATAGGAACTGAAAACATCGATATGAATAGATATTTAATTAAAAATATTTCCAAGAAAGTTCAAAATTAAATTATATAATTAAAATGAAGCATTGAAAAGTTTTTTCTCGAGAAAATTACTTACAATGCACATTTCTCCCAGCTGATCATTACAAACTGATGGATCTGGGCATTGTGCAATTGCGCTATAAGTTGGATACAGTTCGGTACGATTCTTAGCTCGACTTTGTCGAACTGGGCTTCCATTTGGACAAAGATTTCCGGTAGATGGACCGGTTTCATCGGAACCGTCTTCGCAATCCTTTTTACCATCTTTTAGCATTTCACTATCCACGCATCGAATTTTACCACAACTACATTCAAATTGTGTAACTGTGCATTCTGAAAAAAGAATGAAATTTTTTATGTTACTATTTTTTCTTCTAACATTTTCATAATTTCCCTGGCAATGATAAAATGATTTAAACAAAATTTTTGAATTGGAGTAAATCAAATTTGAAGCAATTTGCTCAAAAATTATGCAATAAATTGTTGTTGAATAATTTTTATGGTATCGCATAAAATTGTTATTTGCATAATAATTTAAAAAAAACGTTGGTGGTAATAGGCTATTTAGGATAAATATTTAGGTTAATAGAAATTTTACTTATTGATATTTAAAAAATGCGATTACCAATTTGTATGATTATTTTCATTTTCTTATCATTTGACACTATAACCTATCAACAAAATGAATTCATATGAGAAAACAATAACAACATCCAAGCTTTTTAAGATAACTAAATATTTAATTTTAAATGTTTGATTAAAATTTTATTTCATTTCTTTATTTTTTTCATATTGAAAGTATGAATTCTATTTAATTCTTTCGGATAAAAAGCAGGGATACCGATAAAAAGAATTCTCTTTTTTGCTTTCTCACAGGACTTTTTAATGCAATTATTCAACAACCTTTTATTTCATTTCAAATTTAATAGAAATAATGATTTGAAAGAAAAGAGGAAAGAGAGAGAGGAGGAGGAAGAAAAAGAACAAAAGAGGAGGAGAGACAATATCAAATGTCCCTCAATGTCTTTTTTTTATTCTGTCTACTACAAACAATCAATCTTACCTTACCCAGGTAATACTATCTGTTGATGTCCTTGATTTTAGTGAAGGAAGAGAAAGTAGTAAAACCATAAAAACATCCGAAAATAAAAAAAATAAAATGGAAAGAAAAAGGAGGACCGATTATAAGAGTTCCGACAACGATATATATCGAAATTATATATTGCCAAAAGGAAATTCTAAATTTTCATTTTAAACAGAGGAAAAAAAGAAAAAGAAAGAAACAAAAGAAGAAAGAAGAAAAGGAAACATAATAAGAATAGTAAGGTAACCTTCATCCGAGCCATCTTTGCAATCGGCAATACCATCTTGAAAACGCCTTCCTTCAATACATTGCGAACGATCGTTGCACAAAAAATCACCTGCTGGACATGCTGAAAGTAAAAAGAAAAGATTAAATATAAATTATAAATATATTTTGGAAAAGGTGAAGAATTAGATAAATGGATGAATGGAATTTGGAAAAGGAGAAGAAATCAAAAAAATACAAATTATAATTAATAAAATGCTTTTTTTAATTTTAAATTACAGCCTTTTTTTTATTTCATCGAACAAATTGCATATTTTATTTCACCGAATGATGACTTTTAATTTTAACTCACTATTTTGTTGTATTATTTATGCATACGTATTTCTGTTGTTTCAAGTTTCATTTGACACTTTTCAAATTTTGAAAGAATTGATTTTAAATAGTTTACGATAAAATTAATAAACTATCACGAAATTTATGAAATGGAAAAAAGCATACGTTCATCCGATTTATCCTTGCAATGTGGTATACCATCTTGATATTTGGAAAAATCGATGCATGCACTCTTATCAGCACAAACGAAATTATGCGGTGGACAACCTGAGATAAATTACGCTCTTAAATTTGATATAATTTTGAAGTGGTTGAGAAATTTTTTGATTTAAAAATTCGAATTAATTGACTCATTAATTTAGTATAAGTTATTGAATGAATAGCAATAAATAATAAGTATCATCGCATGTTTGAGGTGTGATTGTTATAAGATATGCATAATTAGTAACGCTATCAAAATTCACCTTCATCGAATCCGGAAATACAATCAATTGCACCATCATTAACTTTGAACTGTGAAATGCATCGCGGAATCCCGAAATGACAATCGAATTGCCACGGAAGGCATTCTAAAAGAAATAAAAAGGTAAAAGTGTGGAAATATGTTCAGTATTAAATTAATTATTCCATTTACGATTATAGCGATTATGATTAGAATATTTTTTAACTATTACTATCGTTATAATCAATTACTTTAAAGCTTCATTTTTAGATTACAAATTTTTGAAATTTTTTATCCAAATTAAAACAGTAATAACCAAATATTAATGATGCAAATTTTCCTTATGCATCCTGACAATCCTTCGGGCCTTAATTTTTGAAATCTTATTCGTGTGATTACTACTAAATTTAGTGCTGTTATATTTGTCATTGCTTTTTTATACAATTACTGTCATTATTAATTAAAAATTCTCATTAATTTTATTTGTACTTTGAAAATTGTGGTGAAGGTGACTTATTTATTTCGAAATTTCAAAATTTTAATTTATTAAGATAAATACAAAAAAACTGATAAAATACAAAATTTTCATTTTGTTATGTTTATATTTATTTAATAAATTAAGTCAGAATGAATGACGAAAGGTACTTTCTCAATGATCGAAATTAAATGGATTGTTTACTTTTGAATGCTATTTAATTCAAGTTAGCCGGACAATTATTTACATTTTGTAATTTTTAGATACAATAAAATTCAAGAAAAAAAAATTTTTCTTGGATATTTCAGCAATTTAAAAATAAAAAAATAAATAAACGGATAAAAGCTAAATGTCATCTTAAAGCTACAATTACTATTATTCACTAATTAGATAATTAAATATTTTTAAGCAATGTATTTTTTCAGGCAGTAATTTTTCTTCCAATAATGTAAGCATTTTTTTCTAATTGTAGATCTTTCCATTTCTGTATAATTGCTATCGTTCTTCGAATGATATAGAGAGTGAAAAATCCTTTTGTGTTTAATTTCAAGGTTGAAATTGTTGTGCATACATTAAATACTAATTTTCATATTCGAATAGTTTTCTGGTCAATAAATGACACAAGGTCATCTACCTATATTAACTTAAACATACATAGAAACCAATAAGCAGGAAATGAGTGAGTTTACTTGTAGCAAAATATAAAATGAAACTTAAAATATTTGCCAAAAACTAATAAATACATTTAATCTTGCAACCAAGCAATTTGTTTACTGCTCACTCGATAAATTTAATTTCAGTAATTAGCATTTGATAATAGTTATATGTACAATTTTTTCAGAGACATTAATTAATATTTCAAATGAACTATGACAGATGATATATTTAAATTTTACCATTCAGTTTATTGTGGCTTTGGTTACTATCTTCAACGATATCCATTGGTTAATTTATACCGTAAGGGTAATTTAATTTTTTTTTATTGGAATATTTTGCAGAAAAATTCCTGTTATTATGAAGAAAATGAACAAGCACATGAAGAAATATATATAATTTATTGTTTATTAAGCAAATATGAATTCGATTATTTATATCCTCAATGACGTGGGAACTTATATACCTCCACAATTCGCAATGTTCCAACTTTTAATAACATATGTACAATGGTATAATAGCATAAGAATTTCTGTAATTTGTAACATTCAAGTGTTTTAAGTGTAAAAATTTAAATACATCTGCAAATCATAATTTCCGAATTCATATATTTATGTAACTCTTCAAATTCGCATGGTGTTAATAATTTATGTAATATATAATTTCTAACTTATGAATGAAAGCATTGTAATTTAAGTCATACCAATTTCTCAAAATTAGTCATTTTTGCCAAATTGATATAATTTCAATTTAATGTAATTTGCAAAAAATAAAGAAAAAAGAGGTAAAAAGTAAAATTTCGTCCCATATTTCAGTGACATACATTGATAGGATCCGTATTTGTTGTATGTAACAATGATAGGAAGGGGAGAAGTAAAGTAAGTAATGAGAAGATAGGGAAACGATAATTGTTTTTGAATGTTGATTAATTTGGTAGTCGGTAAAACGAGAAAATGCTTCTAAGAATAAAGGAAATTGAAAATTTTAAATTAATTCATAAAAAAATTTGTTCATTAAAACTAAATAATGTTTTTGAATGATCAGAAGAAAAGTCGAGTGTATGATCCCAATGAAATGATAGAGATAAAACAAATTTTATACGTTACAACCGATTATAAATTTTTTTATTAAAGTTATTTCGTCATTTTAATTTCTCTCAATTCTTTGAGAGAAATAACTAATATAACTTTTTGTGCAGCAACAATTGTTCTTTTGTAATCATTATGGATAAAAAATAGATCAAACAGACAAAATAAACTGACTTATTTTTACTCATTTATTTTTCCGAAAACATTTTGAAATAATCCACGAGAAACAAAAAACGATAATTTTTGCTTAAGTAATTTCGAGGAAACTACAAATTTTAAAGAATTCTGTAGAAAAACAAATATTAAATTTGGTTGAAAAGTGAGGCATTTCAACAAAGAATTATTTTTTAGCAAATTTCCATTATCTCTTCTTTATGAATTTTTAAAATCCAATTTGTAACATCCAAATTACAAATAAGGCAATTTAGCAATAAGTGCTTAGCAGGTTGAAAATAAAACGATTTTTCATACAAATCATTTATTTTCTCCTCGTTCTCTTTCTCTTTTTCCATCCGTTCATAGTTTTCAAAAAAAAAAAAAAATCAAATGAAAAACAAAGAAAATACTGAGTAATATTTTTATACTTCCAATAATAATAAATGAAAGAAAAATGTTTTCAGAAAAAAATTATTGCAAGTTTCTAGAAGTACTCGTACTGTAATTGATTGCACTTTTTTTAGTTCGAATTCGATCTTCATACTTTTTCATTCTTACTTTTTTATTTAAAAAAAAAGAGTGGAAAAAAAGATAAACAAACCATTTCAATTCTCTTAGATTTGTTATCTTAACTCCCAATCATTTCATTCATATTTCCTTTTTTCCATTCTTCCTTTTTTCGAAAGTGAAAAAAAAACTTTTTTTCATCACTAATTTTAAAAAAATGAATTGGTTAAAATATTTTTAACCAAGAACAGAAGAGTTAAATATATTTCTAAATTCCAAATAAATTTGTTAAATATATGTGAAATGCCAAACGGATTACTTATTTATTTCCAATTTCTGAATAGAATTGTGAAATATGTTTTCAATTTTGAATAGCATTTCTAATTTTGAAATTTGACTCAATTAGCGAAAATTTCTACATATATTATCCAAAATCAGATTCGTTTGTTGAACAAAAAAGTGAAAAACCGGCAAATATGAAAATATTTTTGAAAAGTGGAAATAAATTCAGAAATTTATTTCATTTCCTCTTCGTTTTCCTTTTTTTGGCTTCTTTTTAAAATTAATTGATTTATTTTTATTTGCTTTTTGAACACGATCAATTAGCATATGATTTTATTCTATTATTTTTGCTTTTTGGAAATTTAAAAAAGGAAGGAGATGGTGGAACAATCGCAATTTAAATAAGGTGAAGAATTTTGTACTTTTATTGAAAAATGATAATTATGCTACCAATAATGTAATAAAAAAATTATGATACATTCAACTGTAAACTGTTTAACTGTTTAAATTTGGATTTTACTTTAAAATATGTATCAATATTTTTCTAACAAATTCAGCCATATAATAAGGAACGGTAAAAAGTTTGAAAATGATTAAATGAGAAGGCTATCATAAATAAATACTGTTCATTTTTTGAAATTGATATGATATGATGAGGCTTTAAAATAAAATCCATTATTCCTAATTTTTTTTCAAAAAGAAAAAAAATAACGAGTAATAAATTTGGTCGTGAATTTTGACGATTAAGGAAAAAAATAAAAAATTGTTCAAAATTTGAAAATCAACAGGAAAATTCATTTTATATAATGTATTTTATTAAAACTGTTGAATACATATTGCTGTTATAGTAAATAATTTAACAAAATGCACTGAAGAAAAGAAAAATAAACACATAATTTTTTCTTAAGAGAATTAAATGTTAATGAGTTTTTGAATTTTAGGCCAAAGTTTAATTCAAAAATTTTATAATTTTACTCAAATGATGCACTTTTTATTTTTTTGTATAATTTGATAATATTTTCTTGTTAATTTTCGGATGTTATCTTAACAAAATGAATAAAAATAAAAACTAAATTTCTTTTTTTGCTAATCAAAAAATATTAAAGCATTCTAAAAAACAATTCGCTATTAACTAACGGTAACAAACATTCAGCACACTTAAATGTAGCTTTTGAAAGAATTACACAAAAATTTGCAATACTTTTTTTGCTGAAAAAATTAAATATCCACAAATTGCTAATACCAGCATTTACTTTAATTTCATTGAATTTCAACCTCTTTTGAAGTCTAAATTTGATTTAATAATTCAAAAAGTTTATTTGTTTTATTTTAAGTGATTACAGTTAATAAATAATATAAATGAATTCATTATAAGTGTAAAACGATAAAGTTATAATTTTTTATGTTTTTACAAATCAAAATTAGCAATAATATTTTTATTTCACATTTACATTATTATGTCATTTTATTATTTTACACATTATACTTTCATATTTTCTTGTCAATTTTCGAATATTATCCTAGCAAAATGAATAAAAACAAAAGCTAAATTTCTTTTTTTGCTAATTAAAAAATATTAGAACCATATTTTGCTTCATTTTGCAATTTTAAGATTTATACTTTCCCCTACATTTCAATTTTTACCAAAATATGATCCTAATGAATTGCTCGAAATTTGAAGACGAAATCATAATTATCGTTGACAATGTCAGAAATTTTATTGCCGGAATTTTAATAAAACTAAAAATAATAATATTCTCTTAGATGTACCAAAAGTTAAATAATTCCGATTTTCCAATAATTTTCAATGGTTGAAATAGAATTAGAATTAAATGAAATAACATCACAAAATTATGTAATTAATTGGTATGTACGTACACATACTATTTGATTATTTAGAAAATTAAGTCATAAGCAAATTTAATTTTATGAGTGCATAAATTCCGAATTATTATTTCTTATAATTCCATTTTATGTGTGATTTAACAAAGATAATAATTTATTCATTTGGAATTTAATAATTCTGTAAAAAAAAGCTTACGGCTTCATTTCTCTTTCCCTCAACCAAAAAAAAAAAGAGGAAGCCTTTAAATTGCGGTAAGGTGAAAGTATTCTATGAAAGGTGTTGATTTTAGTGTACTTCAAATCATCACTACAGTGATGACAATTGATGACATTATAATTGAAAATGAGTTCAAGGTAAAAGGAGGAATGCCTTCACAGCCTATGTCTTCATCGTATTTTACATTTCCACTGGTAAACTTTTGCGATGATTTGAATGACACGTAAAAAGGTTTTTTCTATGTTAAAGAAAAATCCTTTCCAAGTGTTTAGCAATGGTTCAACTGTTGAAGTGAAGCATTAAAGTCTAAAATCAATGCAAACACATTAAAAATTGCGCACTAAATACCATTTTCTTGCTTGTCTAATTTCAAAATTCAACTTTTTAGCAAACTTGCTAATCATTGAATGATCATTACAATCGTTACTTTCTATTATAAAAACAAATTTATGAAATTATTGAAACTACATTGGAATAGTAGCAAACTTATGACGCAAGTCAATAATTTTTAATAGTCGCTTGATAGCAGTATTAATAAAGGAATGATAATATATGCACATTTTATAGCTC